GTTGGGGCCCTGATTCACACCTTTTGCTCACAGGGGGCGGAGTCATACTTGCAATAACAGCGTTGGAGGAGGAAGTCAAAGGCCTCCACCTCTGTTTAATGGTGGACGGTTTTTCTTCACAAAGATGGCTTCCTTTACTCCTCTCTCCGCCCTCTTTTGCATGTGACTAACCTGTTTGTCCACCATGTGGAGGCAGTGCTTATAAGGCTGAGTTCACCTGAAACTCATCAGACTGAAGAAGACACTTGGAGGAGAGACGAAACGTTTCACTAAAGAAGAACCCATCCAGAGGACCTACTGATTTTTTCTTTTTGAATATTATGCTTAATTTTTAAAAAAGCGTTTGGCTCTGTTGATCACATTTCAATCAGTCGTTTGGTTCACATTGTAACAGGATTTAATGTGTTTAATCCTGTCTGTTAGATACTCAGAGTTAAAGGAGAAGGTGAGGAAAGGTGGCGGGGAGAAGGCCGTAGCCAGGCACACTGAGAGGAACAGGAAGCTGCTGGTCAGGGATCGGCTGCGCCTCCTGTTGGACGACGACGACGACTTCCTGGAGCTTTCCTCGTTTGCTGGTTTGGGCCTGCCGTACGGGGACGTCCCTGCAGCCGGCTGCCTGACTGGTCAGAAAGCTCTAACTGTGTCTTTGGTACTATCTTGTTTTGTTTTACTGATGGTTTCACTTCATTCCTCACCTGCGCTCCGTGCGTTTGTGCACGTACCCAGGCATCGGCAGGATCAACGGCCTGTGGTGCGTGCTCATCGCCAACGACGCCACAGTGAAAGGCGGCACATTTTATCCAATCACGGTCAAGAAGCAGCTACGAGCGCAAGAAATAGCCATTCAGAACCGCCTGCCTTGTATTTACTTGGTGGACTCTGGTGGAGCTTTCCTACCGCTGCAGGTTTACTCACAAATCTTTAACAAATATGTGACTCATCATATCGAAATGAGGATTAAGTCAAATTTGGTCAAAATGATCTAATTACATTTTTAGATTCTTGCTTTACAAGCTACGTTTTTTATACCTGGTTCTTTCTGATATAATCAGCTTATCCTGACATTATCCAGGGCTGTTCAACTAAATTGCTCCGGGGGCCACAGTTACTGCAGGCCAACAGCTAAAGGGCCGAACATCCAGCAATTACCATCATGTGAATAAACCAAGTATCTGTTACCTTTCGAACAGTTTATTTAATTTTTATTTAATCATAAATACAACATACAGAACCCTATGTAATAAAAGTAGTGATAATAAA